TCAATCAAAAATTATTATTAATCTAATTTCAAGTTTGATATTTTTTCCCTCGAGTTAAGATAGATCTATTATAAGTATTTCCTTTTTAATTCCTGTCTTTCTACACATTTAAATATTTTTCTTGTTCTCTTGTTTCTTTTGTTTTTATATACTTATTTTATTTGCAGTGCATAAAATGTGCAACAAAATATTTTTTAAGAAAAAAGGAAAAAAACAAAAGAAGAATGAAAACTAATCTAATCTCTCCAGTTACATTATCTAACATATACTTTTATACATACATTTTCTATTTATCTATTTATTTTCTATTTATTTTTTATTTGACGTACATAAAGCATCGCTGGCGCGGAATTTTTTGTGAATTATAGGAGAACTTGATGAAGTTCGAGTGTTCTTATTTTTTATTTGAAATGCATGACTTTTTTATTTCATATTTTTATTTTTATATGGAACGCATGATCACAGAATCCGTGAGTCCATAATTCTTGACACGAGTTTAGCAAAAATATTCCTCAGAATGATTTAATTTTAGGTATCGCGTCCGCGGGTCCGTAGGTCAATCTCAACAACCCTGAGTTAATCATCAATCTTTCTCTCTCTCTTCAACGTGAGATCAAAGGTCGGTGTTATTCGACCGGCGAATTTATATATATCGGTGTCGTACAAACACCAATGGTATCAAGTGTCAAAAATCGCCGGTGCATCTGTCATTGTGCTGTCAAGCGGATAATTCGAGCCTCGAACCGATGTAAATCGCACGTCATTGACTTCTACTCGATCTCCGATGTTTCTCTCTCTTAACTCCGGATTGTTGCCAAGTAGAAAAGTTCGAGATCAAGATTTTTATGCGTTTCATATAATGCATATTTTCTCCCGGGGATATCTCGAGGTAAACCTTCAACATGCGACACATATGATTATCCCTCACGCTTTACGAAATAAAATATATATTATAATATATATCTCTTTCTCCCTCTGACAACAGCACACATACAGGTCGGTGTTATTCGACCGGCGAATTTATATATATCGGTGTCGTACAAACACCAATGGTATCAAGTGTCAAAAATCGCCGGTGCATCTGTCATTGTGCTGTCAAGCGGATAATTCGAGCCTCGAACCGATGTAAATCGCACGTCATTGACTTCTACTCGATCTCCGATGTTTCTCTCTCTTAACTCCGGATTGTTGCCAAGTAGAAAAGTTCGAGATCAAGATTTTTATGCGTTTCATATAATGCATATTTTCTCCCGGGGATATCTCGAGGTAAACCTTCAACATGCGACACATATGATTATCCCTCACGCTTTACGAAATAAAATATATATTATAATATATATCTCTTTCTCCCTCTGACAACAGCACACATACACACACACACACACGCGCACAGTGTGCATACGTAATCAATCACCTGTGCATCTTGAAGCGATATTCACGTTGGCGCGGGAACCGCGCACGAGGACGCCGAAGAGCCTGCAGCTGGCCATATCTCTTGGTCGATTCGAATTTCTTTAAACGAATTTAACTGGCGAATTCACTCTCATGGAGAGCAGAAAGAAAAGTCGCGAGTCACGCACGCAACGCGACACTCATTCACTGAATACGAGTGTGTCGTCGCCCTAACTGCGGGCGATCCCCTGTAGCTTTCATGCGGGGAGAGAGTATATCGAGAATACATCGAAGTTTCCTTCGAGACTCGATCGGTAAGCAAGGAATCGATGGTTCAACGATTTACTGTAAAAGACGCGAGAAAAGCGATTTTTCGAGATTTTAAATTATATCGGTTTCGGTGTTTTTAAGATGAAACAGGGGGAAGGAGATTCTGTCTCTTTCTCAGCTGTTTCCTGTCAAACTGAGAAGGTTTAAAGGGAAAAATTTCGATATCCGGTCATTTACCGGCCGGACCGAGGTATCAAAGTGCGTGTATATGTATTATGCACACGTGGAGGAGGCAACTTCTTGTGGACTTTGATCTTGACTTACATTATTTATTTGTGTCGATGTGTGTGTTACGCATACGTAGCATCAATGTTGAATCAACGAGAATATTTTATCTGACACTTTCGAATTAATATGTCTATTAATACATAATTAATAAACGATAACATATGTATATATTCGATTGCCTGATTATTAATAATTATGTTACGAATGACATCTTCATTATTCGCGTTTATCGAGCAGAAATAATTATAATTATTTTTAATTTCATAATATATCATTTTAATTGATTTTTGGAATAACGATTTTGATAACTATAAAAACTGTGTGATTTTTTTTTCATAGAAAATCGATTACTCAATAATTTTCTTTAACTTTTTTATGTAATAAAAATATGTATTATTGTTGTATAATAATAAAATTGATTGTATAGTGTAAAAAAAGATTGCGTCCGAGATATATAATATATATAAATAAAATGCCAGATTTAAAAATTAAATGTTCTTACAACTCCATCTTTCAATTTTTGCAAATGGTCGCTGTACAACTTATAAACAACTAAAGAGAAAAAATCCATAATATATATGAAATATATCCATATATATGTGTATATATATTTATTCTATAAAATATACCACATAAAAAAATTTATTATCGAGATATTTCATCGAGTCGCCCATCTAGAATGCTCGACTCTTCATGATTCAATGACTATAGTCTATAGTTACCGACGTAAACATTGATTCTAAACCATATGATCGCTCTCGTTACGATTGCTCGTGATCATACGACGGGAGTTGCCCGTTTCTTCCGGGTTACCCGTGTGTAACACGTGTGTCATCTGAACAATCGATTTTCGATGCGAATAATCTCGTGACAATAGTCATAATTTCCGCCTCTCATTCGGGTGTAATTAAACGCCTAATAATTATCGCGATAATTTCGCTTTATATTAATCTGTTATCTCGCACAAGATGTATTAATTTGCCCATAAAAAGTATTATTGCGTTTGACTGAGAAGGCGTGGAAAGAGAAAGGATATCCGATTTATATCTGTCAACTGTAATCTAATACCCTTATGGGCGAAACTTCTCTTCGTCATCGTTTGTCGTGATTGATCGGGTAAGATCAAAGGATTCGAAATTATATGTTTGAATGAAACAATGATGATATCTTGACAATAATTGCAGGATGTCTGAGAACGCTCACATTAAGGAACAGTGGCAACTTCTACAGAGTTTACGATCCACTGCGGAGGGTCTGTTGATTGGAGTGTCCAATGTTTGGAACGTTTACGGTGGCCTAAATCGGCTGCACAATGCAATGGAGAAGATATTTAAACATGGCTGTCGTATATTCGATACCAATGTTAGCTGCGTTTGTTACTTCCAAAGCTTTTTCAATGAAAATATTATTTATAGTATATTTTGACGTATTAGATTATTATATAATAATTACATAATAATCTAATTACAATTAATAATTATTTTATACAATTTATTCTTGTTACACTTTATATTCTTATATCAATCTTATATCTTGTGTCAATTTTTATAAACACTTGTGTTTTTGCACGATTGAGTTTCGATATGAAAACATTTATTCTATAATAAAAATTTATGATAATTATAAACATAATTGTAAATACGATTTTCTTTGATTATCTATACTTATCTGAAGAAATTTTATCACACAAATTTTATGAAAATATTTTTATAAGGGTGAACCAGACTGTTGGATATTCATTCAAGGACTGAATTGGCTTCAGCCGTCTTTAGCAACATCACCAGTGTTATCGGAAAATGAGGATTATCTATGCAATTTGCCAGCTGAAATAACATCTAAGAAGGATATGTTGTGGCTATACAAGAGGTTAATCTTCTTTTTCTTTATACATCTTCAATATATTTTTTAAACGATTTTTTTATTAAGGCAAACACTGATAGATTCATGTATTTACAGTTTAGAAAGTCATTCTTTATCACACAAATTATCATGGCTTCTATCAGATAAGGAACATTTGCTCTCTTGTCTGGAGCCATGGGCGTTTCTTTGTCAAGAAAATTTGGCGGAAGCGACACTTTTGTATTTACGAGCAATCGAGAGGAATCAACCTGTACTGTTCGCAGAAATCGATCCTTGCTTAGTGAGTATAGTATTTTGGCGTTATTTCCAGAACTTGAAATTCTGAAACTTCTAAATTAAAATTTCTGAAATTCTAAAATTCAGAGAAACTTGCTTCATTTAAATAAATTATAATATTATATTATAAGATGTATTACATAACGGATTTTAATAAGTTCAATAATTTTGATACTTTTCTATTCGTGAATTTACAGTTTCTGCCATCATGGATATCGCCTAAAACGAGTCCCAGACGACATCGTCGCTCATCCTCATATCCGGTCAATCTTTCTGGTGTTAATCATATCCTTGTACAAGACAAAAGTGAAAGAGATCTTAATAGATACTTAAAGGTTTCAACGCAGTCTCATTTGAGGACTGCAATGCAGTCTATTACCCACGAAGTGGACAGCGTCGAAAATGAACCAACAAAGCCCGCACAAATTACTACTGATGATAATTTGCAAAATGATTCCAACATCAATAATGACATACCTCTGAAAATGTGGAATAGTCTGCCTGTTTTGGTCAAGAGCCACAGTAGCGCTGCCATAGATAATTCAACCGAGACGGTTCAGATTTCGCCGATTATTCCAGAAAGTAGCGACAGCAGCAACAAAAGTAATAATCGACCTCGTGCATTGGAATTAGCGGAGATTATCAACGTCAATTATTCCGAGTCGAAGCAACCCGTTGATTCCAACATAGATAGACTCATATCGAAGCCCAAAACACCTATTAGGAAGACGAGAAGCAGAACGAAGGCTAAGCATAGCCAGAGTAAAAGAGTATCTGAAAGTCCGGAAGCTTATTCGAGCGTTCATGGAGAAGAAATAAAAAACACTATCGAGGAGACGCGGCCGATTGTAACGACGGCGGAATTGGCGGAGAAGAGGTTCTTGAAGCAACTGGCGATGCGCAGAAAAACGTCCTTCTTGGTAGGTTCGGCGCCCGAATTTACGGGCTCGTGGACTCTCGAAGTGGAGGGTCAGAAGGATATCCGTACACCGCGGAAGAGCTTCATGGAGGACGGCGGCAGTAGCGTGCAGCCAATGGCGACTGGTTATTTTCCGCGTCCGGTAGAAGGCCAGAGCCTGACTAGTTTCCTGTCTTCGGCGCGGTTCTCACGTGCCCACGACGCCGAGTTGGATCGCGAGAACGCGCACTTTAGCATCTGCGAGGCAATGATTGCCGCTATCGAGCAGGTCAAGTGTAACCGGCTGCAACGGTTGGATGTCGATGCGGTCGACGACGAGAGCGACGAGGAGATCAATCGGCTCAAGCAACGGATTCGGCTGCGACGTCGGCAGCGCCAGGAGGAGAGATGTCGGAGTAAAGGCTGGAGCCGCGGTGATCTGCTAAGTGACGGTAGGACCGACACAACCACAACTACTGATCAGAGTGTCAGTCCATTGTCCACGTCCCCGGAAAATCCCTCGGACAGCATGTCTACGGAGGATTCTGAATTGGACGACGAACGGAAATTGAGAAACGGCGACACGCTCGCGTCGACTACATCGTTGTTCTCGGACGCGGAACCGCGCCACGCGAGGTTCGCCACTGAGTCGATCATGAGTGAGAGCAGCGTGTCCGCTGAAGGGGTGGCTTTATCCCTCATCAGTCGCTTCAACGAGAAGCAACTGCCTCGGGCTAGCGAGCTGCAGTGGCTGGTTTCTGAAAAGGATGCGCCTCAGCGATTGTTGCCGATGCCGAAGAGTTGGCCGGTCAGCCCTGACGAGATCGAGATCGAAGACACGCGGACGATACCGCTGAGAGGGACAATCGAATGGGCCCCGCCGCGACCACAGATCATTTTCACGCCTCATCCACCGCCAGTGTACGCGTGTAAAACAAGAAAAAGATAATAATTTGAAAATTCTTCGTCGCAATTACATTGATCTTATAATTATTTGAATTCTATATATAAAATCTCTTACGAGTATATATAGATTCTGTAAATAATGGATATAATCTGCTGATAGATATGCATTTAATGTGAACATTAATAATATTTTTTTTCTTCTCGTCCCGCGACTTGGAGATTTTTTTCAGCTATTCAATATCTTTCGATCATTTTTCTTTCAGAAGACGGACGTTGATAGCGAAGCAGAATTACAGATGCGCAGGTTGTGGCATGAAAGTCGCCGTGAAATACGCTAATCGATTTCGTTACTGCGAATATCTGGGCCGGTACTTTTGCACGGGCTGCCACACGAATCAGGTGGCGTTTATTCCAGGGAAAATTCTGTCGAAATGGGATTTCAACAGGTAGGCTCTTAAAAACTATTGATAAAGCATCTTGATCTTTAATGTTTCCTTTATTCTCTGCAGATATCCCGTGTCGAATTTCTCATACAGATTACTGGACCAGATGATGTCGGATCCGCTGTTCCAAGTGAACGATTTGAATCCGCTGTTGTATAGACGAATAAAACAATTGGATAAAACGCGAGTTTTGCGCACAAAATTATTCTTCTTGAAGGATTTTTTGCTCACGTGTCGATTTGCAAGCAGGTAAATTTCAGTATCTTTTTACGATACAAGCGCAGCATAATACATTTTCGCAATATTATTACAGTCTTCAAAATATGCTGAAAAAGGAGCCGGATTACATCATAAGTGATCCGCATGTATACTCAATTCAAGATCTAATAAATATCAAGTTTGGCATGCTGTATGCCAAACTGCAGGATCTCGTTCAAGTTTGTTGTGCGCACACTATGGAATGCGAGGTATTATATATTATAATTAATATTATAATTATAACATCGATAATATAATCATTATAATATCGATGTATTCTTTTTTAGCTGTGTCAAGCTAGAGGATTCGTATGCGAGTTATGCTATTCCAAAGATGTTATATTCCCGTGGGATTTGTCGAAGGTGATCCGATGCGAAAAGTGTGGTGCGTGCTTCCACATGGATTGCAAGCAAAACTCTGATAAGCTCGAATGCCCTCGATGCGTAAGGCTGCGCGACAGACGAATCTCAAGGGATGAGAAGCTCTGACGAATGACGAGGGCGTTTTTTGCCACATCATTCAGAATGGGATACGTATATTAAACCCGTTCGCGTAGAAAGCCATCTTCAAGAGGTCTTAGAGATTTATTCTCTCATCTGTCTCCCTCCCTTTTCTAACAAAACTTATCAGACGATACAAAATTCTAAAACGTTTAAGACATTTTATAGATATCTTTTAAATTTCTATGTTGTCTCTGAGATATTGTTATTAATTATATTATTATGTAAAGTACACACAGGCAATACATATTCAAGAAATGCAAATTTTTGGATATACAACTTGTTACAATATCATATTTATGATGATTAGTCAAGTTTGAGTTGAATTCTAATTCTTGACATTTGACGTATGAAAATGTTAGATATACATTGTATATATATAGATGGACATTTAGATTGCATAATAGAGTGATAGGGATTTATAAGAGAAGTCAATACCTTTTTTGTTCCTTGTTGCATTGCAGGGACATAACTGAGAATACTATTTGTGCCTCAGTCTCGGAAAAAAAGAAAATTGAATGAATGAGACATACATAATAGCGAAGACTGAAGCATTGTGATATATTGCATGTCAGATTTCGATTTTTTTGAAACCTGAAAGAACAACTTTAGAATAGAAACGTCCATAGGACGTTTTAAGCCTTCTTTGAAAAGAAAATCAATATCTTGGAAGATTAATTTATATCTTATATAATTAGAATATATATAATAGTTAAGTTGTTTAATAAGATATCTGATTATATATATATATATATATCTTATTGGATATCTTATTAAACTACATCGCACAATGCAACTTGGCACATTTTTCAATATAAAAGGATACACACAATCCTGCATTTCACCCCCAAAAATTAACTATTAAGAAAATTGCAAAAAATTTTTTATAAAGTAATTAGTTTGTGTGTATTTAAATAGTCTGTTACTATATATTTGTGATTCTTTTTTCATATTTGTGAATTCTTTTCTATAGATTTAGAGGGAAAAATATTTTAAAAAGATTTGTATGTACATATTTATTTACAGACATAGCTAGCGTTCGATGAACAGAAAGTATTATTTCCTTGTAATTATTTTGTACATCAGCAGTAAGAATCTCATATTGCAATAGTAATTTTAAGTCTACCGTCTAGCAATACAAATAACTCAAAATTATTACATTATGTAAAAAAATCGTATCTAGTGCTAATTCCAAATAATATAATAATAATAAGTATGTACCTGATTTTTCTTGACATTTAAAACATGTATATTTATTGTTTATTTATGAAAATTGCTAAAATGTGCATGTGCAAACTAGTAAGATTTTCAGAATTTTGTTATCTTCTGCACGACATACAGACTCTATTATAATTCTTGATATAATAATTGTGAACAAAAGGTTTATAAAAAAAAGTATTTGAATAAAATTATTAGATTCAAATGTGTAACTACAATTGATGTGAAAAAGATCAATCAAACCTGTTTGAATTAAAAAAATATATAATATTTATTAAAAAGTATATAGTATTTGCAAAGATCTCTGCATAGTTGCTTCAAAAAGTTAATCACTTTATTTCTGGGAAATATGACATACTTATTTAAGTTTTATTTCTTTGAAAATAATTCCATTACACTTCTGATAATAACTAAATAGAATGGAAACATTCCTGAAAGTCATTTTGTAAAAGCTTTTTCTAAAATCTATTTAACATAATTGTAAAGAGACATGACTAATTATCACCTTACTTAACTAGGTGCAAATTATGAAAGATTTTACTTGAAATATTTCACATTAAAATAACACAATTAATAAATTTTTATGATTTTATTTGGTTATATGTGTTTATAGCACACATCTATCTGAGGATAATAGATATAGTAGAGGTTCATTGCGACAATAGAAAAAATATATTAATTATATATATACACACTAGCCTAATTTTGACCCCACATTTCTGCAACCCTCAATGTATGTTGATGTATATTTATTACATAAATTTTAAATTTGTCCTAAAGATTAATTATGGGTATATACATATACAGATGCAAATCTACAATCAAATGTATGTACAGTAAGTAATATATAATTTACTTATGCTCACGTTTTTGAGATAAGAACCTACTGAGATGATTAATCATTTCAAAAGTGTGTATAATATATTCTATTTTTTGCTAAAAGAGAGAGAAAGCAGTCGTATATAAATACTGTACACAATTACTGGGTATATATACGGGGCAGCCATAAAATTCCTTATTTCTTTTATATAAATTAGTCATTATCATAAATATGCTATATGCACATTTACTACATATATTTTATCTCTTTTTATTTTATAGCTTTTATTCAATGAAAAATACAAAAAATGTCACACATATGGAGAATTTGGTGATAGACCACCTTCTGCAATGAGAATAATGGCTAATATATTTCGATCTGCTAAATCTCGTACATTATTACATTGAACATATCTTTTTTTTTAATGTTTTATTTTTTATATATATTTAAAATTAATTTTATATTAATGTACATATTATTTCATATCTTGCTTCACACTTATTTTTTTTTATTTAAGCAAATTGTTCAATAAATAAAGTATATTAATTATACAAACAGATTATATTGTAACAATGCAAATTACGAATTTATTTCATTATTACGTCACGAGTTCTTCAATTTCATACTAGGAGTAACAGAATTTCGTGGCCACCCTGTATTTAGAAAAAAGCATAAAAAAAGAATACTTGACACTTATCGTTTCGATTTTGTGACATTATAAGTGAATGTTAATATCACAGGTGGTCCTTTTTATTTTTTGTTGACGATTGTTCTGCATGTCTTTGTTCAGGAAAAAGTTCTGTTACCATAGCACTATTATATGAGTTAGGTCTTGAAACGTCTTATCCATCTTATAGATATAGTGTGAATTGCATCTTTTGCAAATTATTAATCGCATTTAGTTTTGGCACGCAAGCGTTTGCAGAGTGAGCGTTACGCATTTTCAATAGAAAAGGGAAATCTTACTTCGCTAAATGTACGAGAAAGGAGCTTAAATCGTACCTAGCTAGATTACTATAACATATATAGCTAACTTATAAATCCTTGAATAAGCTTATATCTCAGTAAAATATCGGGCGTAGGATTTTTGATTGAGAGAATCTCACATTAAACGCGATATAAATTTTGATTCGCTATTGTAACAATCAGAAATCCGAATTTCTCACCCTGGCAACATAAGCTTCATCATCAGTTTATATACAGTCGAACCACCGTGCTTTTTCTCGACGGGGCCGAAAGTTTAGCTTTTTCTATTTTTGATTTTTTCTCTAACATGTACTTATATTTAAAATTTGATCGTCGAATAGGATGATGTTAGAATGACATGGAAACTGAAGAAAAAGTCAAAAATAGAAAAGTTAATAGGCTTGAGAAAATACGGAAAGCCGACTGTAAAATGCAACAACGATGCATAACAATGCGCCACACTATTTATACGACAGAACTTTGAATAAAAATTACTGCATGATCATTCGCTCTAAGCATAATTTATATTGTTGATCAGCAGTTGTATTGTCAATTTTACGGAAATATTTTTGGAAGAAAAAGCATCAAAGAATTAAGATTAATTACGAGGATAGAAGAGGAGAGAAATAGAAAGGAGAAGAGAAAGAGAGATTAAATAGTAATGCACATGGTCGAGTGTCTCGAGAGTGACACGAGATACAGATGCCCAAAATAAAATATAGCTGTTCGGTTATTCTTTACGTCATCGCTTTCAGCGAGAAAATACATTACTCAAAGCACAGTAAAATTTGTTGCACAATATGAATATTATAAGTCCGATCGCTCCGAAATTACAGACGAGTATTGCAATATTGGAAAGTAAATTCCTACGATAAATACAAAACATGAAATTCAAATGTGAAGCCGCGCAATTTGTACTTCTTTTATCAATTTAAAGAAAATTTCTTTTTTTTCATGTATTGCAAAATTACAAGTTTATACAAGTTTGTTTTCTATTTGAAACAATGTATTAAATATTATAAGGGGGAGGGACGATTATATACAAAGATATATTTTATTTCTCTTTTCGATTCTTGAAAATACATCTTTTCGTTTTTTGAGAAATCTGACCGTGCGCATTACTTTTCATCCTCCTTTTATACATTGAAAACCCGGCGCTACAAATCTCGGTTGAAAAATTTATCTCGCAAGATGTAAAAGCATGGCGCTAAAATAAATGTTTTAATATAAAAAAAAAAAGAAAAAAAGTAAAATAACTTATAAATATTGAGATTATAAAGTAATATAGATTACACGCGTCATATATATAAATAATAATATTAATAATAAAATAGTATAATAATAAAAATATAAAGCTTTTGTGTGTGATATAAGTTTTTTTATAACATTTTTGAAATGCGTTTGATGTTTTTTACGTTCTCGTCTACGTTTTATGCATTATACAATTTAGAGAATATCAAGTCTTTTGTAAACATAAAAATTATATCAAAAGTTATATTTTTATTATTATTATACAATTTTATTATTTAGGGAATATCGCTATTCGCATGCTAATGACCATTCCAATTGCCTATGTTTAGATCGACTCAACAATAGTTAGTCTTAGCGACTAGTCTGTGTCTTTTGCTTCCACTTTGTCAAATGTCATCTGTCTGTACTTATATCGAACTTTAGACAATTGTTTTTATTTATATAAATTAATTTCAATCGCTTTATTTTTAATTTTATTTGTTTTACCTATATATCTAAAGTTTCTTTTAGTGGCAGCTTTGCTACTTCGAAGAAAATCCTAGAATGCAGAAAAGTTGAAATGAATACTACCAATTCGCGAATATTTTTATTTAAATTAATACTTACTTATGGCTGTATTTGTTGCGAACGGTCATTAGAGTTTCCTTATGCTTCTTATGCAGGCACTGATTCAAAAGAATGCAGATATCTCTTATGTCGTCAAGTTTATAACCGCTATAATATTCTAATGTTGGAGTCCATCCTCCCAGGTCCTTCATTAACAATGCTAGTAGCAGCGCCGCCGCTGCGATTTTGCTATCGCTGTACGTGATCATCGAGTAATCCATCAGCGAGTACTCTAATATGTATCGAGCCAGAGTTAACGTTGGCATAGACACCTTGGCACACTATTTTCAAATAATAGTGATTGAATTAATGTACATTTTCCAGTAAAATCAAATATAAATATAAAACATTAAAACATAAAACATTATGACAAAAATTAAAAAATCTAATTTAAATAAAAAAACATAATTAATCTTCTATGATCTGACATGATTTCAAAATAATACGTTTTTTTTATCAGTCTGATTTATAATTGGGGGTACATATAAAATTTACATACTATCACATTTATATAAATATATTAAAGCAAAAAGAACTTGGACAATTGGATCAGAAATTGAAACCTGGACTATTTCCTTGTTAAGTGCCTGCTTTTACCGTTAAGTCTAATTCTATCCAGATTTTAATATCTTTCTATCTGTATACAGTTTTATATAAATATTAGATATAACTGATTGGATTGGAAATTGAACCTGTATCTTTCATTAGAAGATCTTACTATCAGCCAGATTTTATACATTAATACTTCCTCATTCTTTTTTCGAAAGAAAATTATTTCATTTACAAAGAGAAATATAATATACTACTAATATATTTAATATTTATTTTTAATATATGTGAGATAAAATTTGAATAGATTTTAAGGTAGAATAATCTTTATGAGGGACAATTGCTGCATAAATTGATAATATTAAATATGCATTACTTACTCTAGCATAACGCCGAAGAAACCTGTAAGAAAGAGGTATTCCCAGGTCAAAATTTACTACTCTTAAGACATTCATTTCCATTCTGATGAGTTCCCTCTGTGTGTAAGCGCCATCACATATGTACAAAAAATCTTCCACCATCGGTGGTATCCTTTCCTACAAACAAAATTAAGAACATGTGCTGCTAGAGTACAATTTAATCAGATAAAAATTTGTGTGACTTTATAACAGAGATATGTTCATAAAACTTACATCAAATTTACTCGCTATGAAAAGACTCGCAGCGCCGAGCAACTGTAGAGTTTCCTTGCCGACCGTCACCTTTGACAGATAGAGATCGACCAATTTCACGGCCAGATAGAGAGTCTCGTGATTAAGCTCAAACGATTCCTGTACCTCGACCATCCAGTCGATCAGCAGCGCTCTCATCCACCGCGACAGACATACTTGCCGCTCCATATAATCGGCAATGCGAAATAAACGCTCTCGTTCTTTTAGATACTCAAAGATGTCCATCGCATATTGCGATACTTGGAATGGATCTAGCCAATTCTCGATGTCAAAGTCCCATTGCACGTCTTTGGGTAATTCCCTTACGGGTATAGTGATCAATTCAGCGGCAGTTAATGCTTTCTTCTTGCTCACAGAAGACGTAGTTTCGCTCTTTTCGTCCTTCTCGACTTTTTTTTCGTTCTCGTCAACCTATTTCAAGTCTGCTTTGTATTTTATAATTCTAATAATTATGGAGAATAGTGTAAAAATTTTACACGTATAACTTAATTCAATTACAATTTCTGAGTTTTCAAAATATTTTATATCAAGATAAAAAAAAAAAAAGATTGTAGAAGCTTTCTTTTTC